GAGTAGCTGGGACTACAGGCGCCCGCTACCATGCCCGGCTAACTTTTTTGCATTTTTAGTAGAGTCGGGGTTTCACCGTGTTAGCCAGGATGGTCTCGATCTCCTGACCTCGTGATCCACCCGCCTCGGCCTCCCAAAGAGCTGGGATTCCAGGCGTGAGCCACCGCGCCCGGCCTGTAATAAGTATTATTAGAATAAAAGCATTGCACTCTTGGTAGGAACGCAATCACTGACTATACAGACAGTAATGATGTTTTCTTTTGGATCCAGAGGCACAGCTTCACCCTTTCAATCTACGTCGATATCTCCTGTCATCTTTTGTGCAAATTCCCAGCCATGTAGTCTGTCTTTGTTCTCTTGGACCAAGCATATTGAAGCTTAATAAACAGAAGTCAAAGCTTAACTGTATGTGTATTTGAAAAGCAACATATGGCTGAGAGGCATGAGTAGAAACAGGGTGCCTTTATGGTATGGGGTGTCCCTTTGGGGGGTGTAGCCACTGGGAACTTGCTGTGCTTCACAATCCGATATCATAGGTCCCTCGCATTTCTGTGAGTATCCTAGACCTTACTTCAAGAAAATCTGGTTATGTCACCTTTAAGAGCAACCCAAGCCCCGTCCTGTCTTTGGAGTCCGGCACTGCGTTTACCAGCTCCCGTGACGGTGCCACCGAGCCTCTACCCGCCATATAAAGCCTGACCAACGCTCTAAGGCAAGTCCAGAAGCGGGGTCGAAACTTCATAACCCAGAAGACACTGCGGTTCTCGGAGGCGCTACTGACCCAGTGAAGGTACAGGAAGGAATGTTTGCGTGCGTGCGTGCGTGCGTGCGTGCGTGCGCATCGTCGGAGGGCGGGACTTCCGGCGTCCTCCGCGGTAGTCGATTTGGTTCTCTCTGGTGTTTTCACTAGCTCCGGCCTGTGGCGCTCTGTGACGTCACGGAAGCGACGGAGCGGAAAAGCGCGAGAAGCGGCTGGGTTCCCTCGGCGCAGAGGCGGTAGTGACACAGGCACAACTGACAGTGGCAGAGGCTCAGCTGATAGGGACTGGGGACGGCGGTGTCCTTGTCTTGCCTTTGTCGCTCCCGCCCCTCTCTTCCCTGGCTGGGCTGGCGGAGTCCGCGCCGAAGAACCTAAGGTGGGTGCCCCATCCCAGGCCCCCCAACTCCGCCCGACCCCTCCTTCCAGTGCTGAAGCCCACAGAAGGGGCCCTGCCGGTCAGGCCCCTTGTCCCGAAGAGGGTGGCGTTCCTGTGTGGGGTCCCCGTATCAGCTGGTTTGATGCAGCCCCAGAGCTCCCCTTCGGGAACCTCAGGTTCAGGGCATGGAGGGCTGCCAAGTGGGCCGCGTCGGGGAGCCCGGAGTGTGTGTTGTTTCTGCGGGAAAGAGGGTTTTGTGAATTCTCTCTTGGAATGGCAACCTGAGCAGCCAGTAACCATGGAAGGTTGTCAAGGGAGGACCAGTCGGAGGGGCAGGTACAGAGTTAGAACGAGCAGGGTGGGGAATTGACACAGAGAGACCGAGAAGAGGCCACTGCAGTGGATCCCAGAGACTGCACCAGAGCCATGGTAGAAGAAGGGAGATGTGATGGGATTCTGGATAGACCTGGAAGATAGAGCCAACAGGTTTCCCTGCTGTATCAGATGTGTCTGTGAGCAAAAATAGGGAGTGAGGGGCCATTTTTTTTTTTTCTATTTTGCCTGAACATCTGAAAGAATGAAGTTGGGGACATCAGCAGCATGAGGAGTAGGTTTCATGGAGAAGATCATGGGTTGCAGTTTGGCCAGTGTCATTCTCAGGCGTCTCAAGTGGAAAATGTCACATGGGTAGGGGGACAGAAAGGTCTGGAGTCTACAGAAGACAGCTGGTGTAGTTTCTTCAAAAGAATAGAGGGTGGCCAGGCGCGGTGTCTCCCGCTGGTAATCCCAGCACTTTGGGAGGCTGAGGCAGGCGGATCACGAGGTCAGGCGTTCAAGACCAGCCTGACCAACATGGTGAAACCCCATCTCTACTAAAAATACAAAAACTAGCCAGGCGTGGTGGAGGGCGCCTGTCACCCCAGCTACTCGGGAGGTTGAGGCAGGAGAATTGCTTGAACCCGGGAGGTGGAGGTTGCAGTGAGCCAAGATCGCGCCACCGCACTCCAGCCTGGGCGACAGAGCAAGACTCTGTGTCAAAAAAGGTGCAGAGCACGGGTCTCTTCCGCGGAAACTGACATTGCGTTTCCGTTGTCGGCCTCCCGCTGCAGGAGCCATATATTGAAGACCATGTCTGGGAGCTTCTACTTTGTAATTGTTGGTCACCATGATAATCCAGTTTTTGAAATGGAGTTTTTGCCAGCTGGGAAGGCAGAATCCAAAGACGACCATCGTCATCTGAACCAGTTCATAGCTCATGCTGCTCTCGACCTCGTAGATGAGAACATGTGGCTGTCGAACAACATGTACTTGAAAACTGTGGACAAGTTCAACGAGTGGTTTGTGTCAGCATTTGTCACCGCGGGGCATATGAGGTTTATTATGCTTCATGACATAAGACAAGAAGATGGAATAAAGAACTTCTTTACTGATGTTTATGATTTATATATAAAGTTTTCAATGAATCCATTTTATGAACCCAATTCTCCTATTCGATCAAGTGCATTTGACAGAAAAGTTCAGTTTCTTGGGAAGAAACACCTTTTAAGCTGAATGCAGAAAATTCCAAAATAAATGATACCACCAGAGTGGTGTAAACTCAGGAATGTGTACATTGTAAGTTACTTGATTAAATAGCTTGGAAAACTTTTGTGTATTCTCAGCTTATCTGAACTTAATGAAATTCCTTTTATATTTAAAAATAGTACATTCTGTCTCATGTCACATATCAATAGATCAATTGGTATTCCCTTGTGAACAGTGTTATTTATAAAGAGCTTGTTATCAATAATAATGACTTTTTTTCTTTTTCTTTTCTTTTCTTTTCTTTTTTTCTTTTTTTGAGAAGGAGTTTCGCTCTTGTTGCCCGGGCTGGAGTGCAGTGGCACAATCTTGGCTCACTGCACCCTCCACCTCCCGGGTTCAAGCAGTTCTTCTGCCTCAGCCTCCTGAGTAGCTGAGATTATGGGCTCCCGCCACCATGCCTGGCTAATTTTTTTCTGTACTTTTAGTAGAGACGGGGTTTCGCCATGTTGGTCAGGCTGGTCTTGAACTCCTGACCTCGTGATCTGCCTGCCTTGGCCTCCCAAAGTGCTGGGATTACAGGCACGAGCCACCGCGCCTGGCCATGAAATATTTTTACTTAAAAATTGGGAATAAGCTTTTCTTTCCTTTTTTTTTTTAGATAGTCTTGCTCCTGTCATGCAGGCTGGAGTGCAGTGGCATGATCTTGGCTCACTGCAGCCTCTGCCTCCCGGGTTCAAGCAATTCTCCTTCTTCCCAAGTAGCTGGGATTACAGGCATATGCCTGGCTAATTTTTGTATTTTTAGTAGAGACGGGGTTTCGCCATTTTGGCCAGGCTGGTCTTGAACTCCTGAACTCAGGTTATCTGCCCACCTCAGTCTTCCAGAGTGCTGGGATTACAGGCATGAGCCACTGCTCCTGGCTGGGAATAACCTTTTGACTTTCCCGATTCAGAAAGGTTGATCTTTTGTTTTTTTCTGAGATGGAGTTTCGCTCTGTTGTCCAGGCTGGAGTGCAATGGCACTTGGCTCACTACAACCTCCGCTTCCTAACTTCAAGCGATTCTCCTGCCTCAGCCTCCCAAAGTGCTGGGATTACAGGTGTGAGCCACCATACCCAGCCCAGATAGGTTGATCTTAACGTAACAATCCAAAACAAATGTCATAGTCAAGATTTGGTAGCTAGATTTAAAACTAAACTATTCTGCAGTTGGGAGTGAAATGTGTTAGCACATATGTGGACGTTATGCATTTAGAGATGTTACAAAAATGTATAGGCACTATACACAGCACTACTCAAGAAGCCAAAGAAACACTTGTGCAGTGCTATGTGTCACATGTCTGCTTCTGCCAGAGGGTAGGAATAGTGATCCTGCTATAATGTGAGACCCTGAATCATGTTTGTAACATAGGAGGCTGGGAGCAGTTCCAGGCCACAGTGAAGTGTGTTGCTTCTGTCACTTTATATTCTTTTATTTCCTTTCCCTCAGACAGTAAACTGTTGATACCCGTACTTGTAAAAGTTGTAAGGCAATTTTTAGGATTGTTGTCAAAGAAAAGCTTGGATTACATTAACATTTGTACTCAGTCTTTTAGGCAATACATCAGAGGGGGCTGGGAATTGTGTCTGTGTTCCTATGATAAGTAGATCTTACTGTACAATAGTAAATGTCCATTGAAAAGCAAGTAATACAACCTGTGCTAGTTGGGAGCACTTGAACACTTTTGTTCCATTCTGAATAACTTTTGAGCAAGTAATTCTAAGCTTTGTCTTGTATCCTTGTGTGAAATTGCTACCATCATTTTCACCCTATTTGATTTCTTAAATAAAGATGTTTGTTCAAGAAAAGAATAGAGGGTGTAGATTGAATTGGGCCCTGAGGATCCAATTTGGTAGGGAGGTCTGAAGATCATTGCCTGTGAGCTATGTGGTGAGGGAGGAGAGAGCTGATACTTGGGGTTCAGACCATAGATGGAGCCATAAGCCGGACACTTACTTTAGAAAGGCACAGATCTGCCATAGGAAGGATTTTGTTCTCTGCCTAGAAAAAGGGAGGCATGGATGGAATAAGGAATGGGCTTGGGATGGAGACTAAAGTTTCAGATGGTTTATATTCTGCACCTATAGGCTTGACTGACCCTCAGGGCCACTCTTTGTAGGAAAAGAAAAAAGTTATCCAGGCTAGTGGAGCAGCTGGGTTCTAAACTAGAGCACTGCGTTTTCCCCTTCTCCACATATCAAGGCAAGATTGGATGATCTGCCCCAGTCAAGGTCTCCCAGCAAGCTCCCCTCAGAGCCTTATATAACAGGCAGGCCTGGTTGCAGAGAGGACCAGTAGCTGACCGACCTGCTCAGCCCCTCCCTACAACTCATTAAGAATGTATGAGGCGGCCGGGCGCGGTGGCTCAAGCCTGTAATCCCAGCACTTTGGGAGGCCGAGACGGGCGGATCACGAGGTCAGGAGATCGAGACCATCCTGGCTAACAC